GAGTGAAGTATATAACCTCATAAGCATGTATCCCTGAGGCACTCAACTGCAGACCCTTTCCAATTCGACATCCAGCCATTAATGATTACTCTTTGAATCCAGATAGTCAATGAATTCAGAAACCACCGAACTCTGTTGTCATCTAGCCCACATTTCGCCACCTTTCCCACATCATTCCCTGGTTTATCAATCTAATAATCATATAAAAAAATAAAGTTAGTCCTGTGCCATCTGTTTGTCTCCACTGATGATTTTCACCTTGGGTGTGCCAGGACAGAATTCAAGTAGTGTTGTGCCATAGGCCTAATTTTATAGTTTCTAAGTCTAGTTTCATAGACTTAGAAAGGGAGAGATCATCTAGTCCAGTAAAGACCCAAGGCATGAATCCTATCAAGTTTATCATCCTTTAGCCCATTCCATTTTGGGATATCTGCAATTATCTTTATTCCTTGATTTGAATTCCTTGTTGGAAATGTAAGATAAATTCCATCCTCCACATGTACAATGTTACAAGACCCTACTCTGTGTAGCTGGGAGCCTTTCTTTCAGGAACCTTTAGCAAAGGTTCACTCATGCTTTCAGTTTGAGCTGATATAAATGGTAGTTTGTCTGTTTTTTTCCTATTAGCTCATTTCCTTTGACTATTTTACTGGTGGTGCCTGTGGTTTAGTGATATCTAGTGTAGTTAACTTTTACCAGAGAGAGTCAAGCTTATATGTTCTTTTTCTTTTCATTGCTTTTAGAATATATAAGTGAGGAAAGAGTCAAGAAAGAATAAGTAGCTTGTCCAGGATTGCAAGCTGGTTAGTATCAGAGCCAGAGCTGGATCCCAGATCCCCTGACCACATATTGTTCAGTGCTTTATTTGACACCTCAAAACAGAAATCTCAACTTAATGATCTGGAATTCTTATGGTCAGTTTATATGTCAGTAATGTAGGCAGAGAATCATATTGGGTCACCCATAGAAATAGGTGTTGTGAAATTGTTCCAAATCTTTTCCTCCTTATCAAATTTTATATATAAAATCATATGCATAGTATGTAATAAGGCAAAAAAAAAAAACCCAAAAAACTGTCCCTGGTCTTAAGGAGCTCAGAGTCTAATGAGGGAGACACCATACAAATAACTACCTATAAAAATTATATATGCAGGATAAATTGGAGATAATCAACAGAGGGAAGGCATTAACATTAAGGGGAATGAGGAAAAGCTTCTTAAAGAAGGGATTTTAGCTAGGACTTATAGCCAGGGAGGCTCAGAGAGAGAGAATCCCTGGCATGAGGGACAACCAGGGCAAAGAGCTCACAGTCCGAATAGAAGCCTTTGTATTTATGAAATTGCGACAAAGAGAGAAGTAGACCTCTCCACCTAAATGGGAGTGGCAGGAGAGAAATCATGAATAATTAAGATGACAAGAGCAGCATTCTTTTCTCTTGAGAACTTCTAGACTGTGAAGATACGATGATCTTCTTATCTGTAAGGGTCCCAGCTGCACAAGCAGTTTCCCAGCCTAGTACAGATTGACTGATGCCCGTCTTGATTACCAGGGATACCTAAGGAGTCCAGTTTGGGGTGCCGACAACAAATTATGTCAGCTCAGGGGAGTGCTTTGTCTTTGACACATTCATGTCCTCCTGCATTCTCCAGGTCCAATGTTTCTGGAAAATATGACAGCTCAAAAAGTCAAGTTCAGGGAACCCCTTAACATTCCTTAGTGGGAACAAACAGCAAGGAAGTCAATTTCACTGGATTGCAGAGTATGTGGACATAGGATAGAAGGAAGATAAAGTATAAAGAGAATTGAAAGGTACGATATGAAGGGCTTTGAATGCCAAGCAGAGGATTTTATATTTGACCCAAGAGATAATAGGGAGCCGCTGGAGTTTATTGAATGTCAGAGGGGAATATGTGGTCAGACCTGCACTTAAGGTCAGTTTGGTAGCTGAGTAGAGAATGGACTAAAGTGGAGAGAGACTTGTGGCAAACAGAAGTGATATGACTTGCCTAGAGTAACACAGTACCTGAGTCTGGGTTTGATCTCAGGTCTTCCTGACTCCAGGCCCAGAGTTCTGTGCACTTCTGAGCTGTAGTATATAATAGCACTGTGATAAGTGGTTTGGAAGGGGTAGGAAGGTAGGAGAAGTTTAGGAAGACCTGTTAGGAGGCATTTGCTGTTGCTGTAGCACAAGGAGATGATAATGAAGGTTAATCTTGGGTGGTGGCCGTGAGATAAGGGAAGAGTGGATGTATTCAAATAATGTATGGAGGTAGAAGCAACTAGATTCTTTACTGATAGAAGTGAAGGAGAGAGAAGGGATAGAACACGAGAGACTGTATGGCGAAGTCAGGAAGAGAAGTAGATAGTTGGGGAAGAACAATAAATACAGACAACTCATCTGGTTTGGGGAAAACAATTTATTTGTGTTTGCCAGCTTCTCATCTCAAGATGAAGATAGATTGTAAGTGGATATTGGGGTTAGCTTCAAGTCTTCAGGTCACATTTAAATCTCGTATGGATTTTTACTGTGTATTATTCAAATTAAAATTACAGTTATCCTACTTTGGACTGAAATTGTGTTCCATATACAAGTGCCTGACAAAATTTTTGTATTTCAGACAACTTGCCTGAGTTCCTGGATTCCATTAAGTGTGTGGTGAGTGTGTTTTTTTACTTGAATTAAATTTGGAATGTTTAATTAAGAATGTGGCTTACTGACAGATATATCCTTTGTTTTTCAGGTCTAGGAATCTCTCCATATTTCCCATTTGCTGCACTCATAACTTGAACTAATAGAAAATGCCTAATCTCATTTGCCCAGACTCACTTCCTCTTATTTTTCATGTGCCATAGTAACAGGTCGGAGGGGAAGAAATCTGAGGATTCCTCATTTTTCTTCCCTCCTGGCCTTGGTTCCAACACACCACTATTGTATTTTGTATGGTTTTCATTTCACATGCCCAAGTGAAAACCAAATGTATTAAAACAATTCTCCACATTGCCCTAGACTCTGCCTCTGCCTCCATTTATAAGAGCATCAAACACAATCCCTTAGGGGAAGGCAACAGAAAAAAGAGGAGGCCAGAGCTGAAGTGACAACTTGTAGTCTTCTAGTAAAACTCAGTAATTAATTCTGCCAAAAATGAGCTGAAAACAGTTTCAATTGACAAGTCTCTTCCAAGGGGTTTCACGCCTTACTGTTTGATCCCTGAGCAGTGTATTTTTGTTGCATCTTCCCCCAGATCCTTTCTTTTTTGTTGTCAGAGACTTCTGACCTGCTCCTTGGAGCCTCATTATACTCTGACCAATGGCTGAGGCCTCTTCCTTGTATATGGTATTGACAGAAGTGCCAAGACCAAAGTGGAGGGAGAACTGGTACATGGTTTTTTTTTTGTTCACAGATGTATATGCACTCAATGCAGCCTCTGAAGATGAGATGCAACAAAGTATGCATAGATTCTCTGCTGCTTATGATAATTTTGGCTTAACAGTGAACACCAAGAAAATACAGGTGCTCCACCAGCTATATATGGAACCATCAATTATAGCAAATGGAGACGTTTTGAATATTGTGGATAAGTTCACTCCCTTGACAATATACTTTCCAGGGATGACCACTTTGATAATGAGGTTGACGCATGTATTGCCAGAACTAGCTCAGTGTTTGGAGGGTCTCCAAAGGAAGTGTGGGAGAGAATAAGTTTTCAACTGACTACTGAATTGAAGGTCTACAGAGCTGTTGTGCTGACATCATTGTTGTATGCCTGTGAAACCGGGACAGTATACCAGTGCCATGCTAGGAATCTTAAGAAGATTCTGAGTATCACCTGTCAGGATAAGGTACCGGACACTGACGACCTTTCTTGAACTAAACTGCCAAGCATTCAAACTCTACTGAAGAGAATGCAACTCTGATGGGCTGGCCACGTTGTTCTAATGTCAAATATGTCCTTACCCAAAAGATTATTTTATAGAGAACTCATACAAGGCAAGCGCTCACATGATGGTCAGAAGAAGTGAAACAAGGACACTCTCAAGATCTCTCTGAAGAGCTTTGGAATTGATTGGGTGACGTGGGAGACACTGGCACAGGACTACCCAATGTGGAGCGCCCTCATCAAAGAAAGTGCTGTGCTCTATGAACAAAGAAAAAGTGAAGTGGCTCCAAAGAAACATGAGGAGCACAAATTTAGAGAATCCACCTCAAATGTCCACATGGCCTGTTTGTGTTCACATGGTACAGATTTAGAGAATCTACCTCAGATGTTCACATGACCTGTGATAGAGCATTCCAAGCTCATATTGGTCTGATCAGCCACAGTTGGACGCACTGTAACTTGACTCTAGCATGGTGATGTTATTTTGATTCTCTTTAAGAATGAAGGACAACAGCCAATTGAAAGAAGTGAGTTTTATCAGCACATCTGCAACCTATATCTTCCATCTCTCATACTTGTTTTATACTTGTTGAACTCAGGCAAAGAGTGTATTTGTGACGAGCTATTAAAAGGTTCCAAATGTTTAAGCGTTGGAGTATTAATTGACTCATTTGATCAGTGACTTCACACTTCTTTTGCAGTTGACTTCAGCTAGAATTTTTGACTGCTTAGTGTCTCAAATCATGGATGTTTTTACATTTGTAACTAATAGTCTAGTACTGTAATTATAAAGTGCCAACCTGTCTTAATTTCATAGTGTCATAGATTTAAAACTCAAAGAGACTTCAGAGATTATCTAGTTAACACCTCCTCATTTTACAGATGAGGAAACTGCAGCCTAGAGAGGTAAAGTGATGTGCCAAATTTCACACAGGTCATAAGTGGCAAAGCCACCCACAAACACAGAGCCACTGGCTCTGAAGTTATTGATCTTACTGAATTCACCCTTTCCAGTTTCATTGTGCCCTTTCTCTTTTGTATACTTTACACTTAGAAAATATCTTTACTGTAGGTCGTGTTGTACATAACTCTAATTCTTTTCTCTGAATTAAATATTTTTAGGTGTTTCACTAAAACCAATGGCACTTTCAGCAACAGTCCCCTTCCTGTGATCCCAATGGTAGCACCTTATCAGCCAGATAGCCTAGAGATGAAGCCCCTGAGTCACATGATGGTACCCATGTGCCTAGCCTCCGCAGTCCCAGAATGTGATGAATTACCTGAGGAGGGCATCAAGGACAAAGTGGCCCCAGCATCCACCCTACATCCTTGCTGTCAGGAAAACACAAAGCAGATCAACTCAGACTGTACAGAAGGTAAGCAGAATTCAGCAGAGCCGGGGAAGCAAACTTTGGATTTCTAGATGGAACCTTCTACGTCCATTCTTGGACATATAGCCATATACTAGACACTAACGTTTAATTGGAAGGATGCATACTTTCAAGGATGGTATTCTTTCTCCTTTATAAATACCTCCCAAAGGATTAGTGCTATCAAATGCTCTTGTCAAAGAAAGATAATGGTAAAATTTGATTGCTGAAAGCTCCATTATTATGCATGCCCTTCTAGTTAGGATGTGATCTCATAAGGTCACAAGTAATAAACTTAAGTGAACTTCAGTTGCCACCTGAACCAAAGACTTCATGGGAGAAGGGTGATGGTGGCAATGGTATGAATTGCTCCTCCTGTAACCTTTCTTAAAGGTAGTTAACTTGAGACTTTTTGAGATTATGCCCTCAGAAAGTTGGTATTTTTTTTAATCCCAACCCAATTCAGTCACTCAGTAAACATTTGTTTAAGTCTACTATGTGCCAAGCACTGGATTATAGAGCAAAAGCAAAACAAAGCAAACAAAAAAATTAGTCCTTGCCTTTAAGGAACTTACATTTTAATGAGGGAAACATAATTATAAATAAATAGTATATACAGAATATCAGGAGAGTAGATGGAAGGGAACCTTGGAAGGGAAGGCCTTCTGCAGGAGATCATATTTGAAGGAATCTAGAGATTCAGGGAGCTGGAATTCAAGAGGGAGAGCATTACAGGCCCTGGAGAAAGCCAATGTGTGAGCACAGAGATACAAGATGGTGTGTCATGTGCAAGGTCAGCAGTGATGCTGGTATGGCAGGAATGCAGGGTGTGTGCAAGGGAGTAATGTGTAAGAAAACCGAGAAAGTAGTAAGGCTTCAGGTAGTGAAGAGCTTTAAATACCAAACAAATGAATTTATATTTGATGCTAGAGGTAGTAGGGAGCCCCTGGAGTGCTGAGTGGGGTGATGAAGTCAGATTTGTACTTCAGGAAATCGCTGGCAGCTGTGTGGAGGATGAAGTAGAGTAGGAAGAGAGTTGAGAGTGTGAGACTTATTTTAAGGCTATTCCAAGAGGTCATGAGGGGCTCGACTTAGGAGGTGGCTGTGTCAATAGCAAGAAAGGGACATAACATGAGAGATGTTAGGAAATCAAGAAATAGCAGGATTTGTCAATGGATCATATCTGTGGGATGATTGAGAGAAAGCAGTCAAGGATGACACTGAGGTTGGAAACCTGGGTGGCTGGGAGGATGGTGGTAACCTAAACAGTAATTAGAGAGTTCAAGATGAGGTAAGCTGGGAAAGTGTGGGGAAATCGTGAGTTCGGTTTTGGATGTGTTGAATTTGTGATGCCTGTGGAACATTGAAGTTCAGATTGTCCAATAGGTAGTAGTGATGAGGGACTGAAGCTTAGAGGAGAGACTAGGGCTGAATGTATAGATCTGGTAATCATAAGAGTAGAGATGGTAGTTAAACCCATGGGAACTGATGTAATTATCAAGTGAGAGAGAGCGGAGAAGGATAGACCCTTAGATCGTCATCTAATGGATATGTAAAGGTAAAGATTTAGCAAAGGAGACTGAGAAGGAGCTTTTGGACAAGTAGGAGTTATACGCTGAGAGAAAGGTGGATCATGAAAACCAAGAGGGGAAAGAGTATCCAGAAGGAGAAGCTGATCAACCATTGCAAATGCGCAGTGTGGCTAGAGAGACCATTAGATTTGGCATTTAAGAGATCATTGGTAACTTTGAAGAGAGCAGTTTCAGTTTAATGATGAGGTCAGAAGCTAGATTGGAGTTTAGAAGAAAGAAAAAGAAGTGGACACGTTTAGTGTAGACAGCTTTTTTGAGTTTATTGGAGAAGAGGAGGAGAATTACAGAGATGGTACGATCTAGTAGGGGTTTTTAAGTTTGGGGGAGACCTGGGTGTGTTTGTAGGCAGAAGAGAAGGAACTAATAGATACAGAGAAAACTGAAGATTAGAGAGAAAGAGTAGGTTTGATACTAGGGTTGACCAGCTATAGAAGATGGGAGGGATTAGGATTAAATATTTTAAATGGCCATGCTTGAAGTTAATAATCTACGTCACATATCCCTTCATTTGTTACTCTTAAATTGAGTTATTGAGGGTGCCTTGAAGAATTTACCCTTGTCATTTCATACTTCTATAGCTCCTTTGCCTTTCAGGAGACAGCTGTCTACATTCTGAAACAGAAAATCATGTTTTGGGTTGGAGCTCCCTTATTTTGCCATCTCTTTCAAGGGACTGTAGTGAAAAGACAGCCTGGTCTTCAGCTGATATTACAGTAGACAACACTTCAAGGGACCTTCGGCAATCCCAGGAAACCTGAACGTGTGCAAGTGACTTTGTTCCCACTTCAAGCCAGTAACTGCACAATGTGGGCATGGGAAGGGACTATAAGAAAGACATTAATTCAAAACAGGCAAAGTTATTATTTATTTTCTTGGAGTAGTAATGCCATTTGAATGTATCTTAAAATGTTTGCCCTTTTATATTATTTAAGCCTTGAGAAATACCCTTTCCCCATTCCCTTCTTCTTCACAGTGCAAAACAGTATTGTTCTGTATAGTTTTAAAAGAATCTAAAAGCCAATGGAATCATCCCATATTTTCCAGTAACTTTGATTATGGGAGGAGTTCATCTGCAGAGAATCTTGACTGTTGGCAGTTATAGCCTAAGGGCAGTTGCACAGGCATTTTGAAGTTTGTTGCCAGTTACAGTGTTGTCAAATGGAGAGCTGTCTGGTTGGTGTGTTATTTTTGTAGCAAGATCTGGGACGTTCTAAAGTCAGTCACTTTGTTTTATAAGGAGGCCCCTTGTCCTGGCAGATCTGGCTTACATGATCTGTGAGAGTGCTGATCACCCAGATGCTGGAATAATGAGTTAACTTGCCCTCTTTCTGTAGTTGAACACAACTCTGGATGCACTTTCTAGGTAGGCAAGGTTTTTCCCCCACAAATGGTTGCCATTTTTAAAGGGTAGGAAGAAAACCAAACTTTACAAAGTGGATTTGAGAAAAGACCATACATTTAAAGAAGAGGAGGGAGGAATTTAACCTCTCCCTAAGGAAGATGCTTTAGCTTGTTACGTGGGTTGTAGCCAAGGTGTACCACATTATCTAAAAGTTTTCCAGCTCCTGGCATGGCCAGTTGTCTAGAAAATATGGGTGTTTAAGAAAAACAGGCATCAGGAACCAACCTTACTGGTGGGGTTGAGGTAGGAGAAAAAGAGGGTGCAGGTGGTTTGTTGCTTCCTGCACATTCTTTAAAGATATCATCATCATAATAAACAAGCATCTAGAGCTTTAGCCAGTAAGGCCTGTAAATCTCAGTTGCTGTTGCCTCTGGGTAAAGAGGACATGTACAGCTGCCTTTGAGATATTTCTCCCCTTCCCTTGTTTAAAAAGAAGAAAATCAGTGATAAGCATGTTTAATAGCAAGCTTGAGTCAAACTCTTGTGTAATGTTGTTCCTAGTTTAAGTTGCATATCCTTTAGGGAGTGGGGGTAAGGGGTGGGTTGGGAAGCAGAAGGTATTCTCTGTTCAGCAGAGACCCTGAATAAATATCTGCTAAGTTGAATTAAGTTGTGCAAAGTTTTATGTCGTAAGGGAAGGGGAAAACTAGTTCCCCTGAAATGACAACATATATAAACACAGTAATGTGTTAAATGTCTGTCTATACAAATGTATAGATATTTCTATAAATGTCTATATATTTTATAAGTAGAAGCTCCAGTGAAAATATTTTGTTTGACCTTGTTCACTATGCAAGAGTTTATTCCAGTAGAAAATAGTTATTGCAGTTTCATAGTAGGGCACTGGGGATATTGCTGGACAAACAGGTTCTACATTCCAGATGTCCATGTTTGTAGTATACTGGATTTATTCTTCATAGTCCTCAGATTATTTAGCTTTGGTGGGGGATGGGCACTCCCCTGACTTCTTGTGCCTAGCAGGGGGTAACCTGGAGTATGAAAACAAGCCCTTTGTTTTCAAATTAAGCTGGTATAATCTTGTCAGAATAGGTTATTAGAGAATTGATAGAGGGTTGTGGAGTGAATGCTTGTTGGCAGCCACTGGGGTCAGTTTGATTCAGAAAACTAGAAGTGGGTTAGCTTGAGCCCTGGGTCATAAACTGCTTTAAAACAGTTAAGTTTGGAGATGGGATTTGCCCACAAGAAGGAGAGTGCTTAACCCTACCTTGTTAGCACAATCTCATCATGGACTGCTTTATTTATGTTATTAGTAACACTGTTTTAAGTGTTGTCCTTTTTATTGTGTTTTATTTATAAAAAATATATATATTTATATATATATATATATATATATATATATATATATATATATACATATATATATATAATTGCCTTTATGTTTAGGAGTTGTGAGTTCTAACCAGCCCGTGGACCATCGTGAGCCTCTAAATCCTGCACAGCTCCCAACATTATTGGGAGCAATCTATTATATTCACTTCTACCTTAGTACCATTTCACCAAGAAATAAAATGATACAGTACAGAGGTCATTTTCTTTGGCACTATTGGCCAAATTTTGTAAAAGGTCTTCTTGGATTGTTTGCTGCCATCTGTGTTTTCTTTGTCCCCATTTGAGGCCTTGATTACACCAACAAAAGCACTGCTTCGTATCCTCTGTTGTATGCCCCATTGCTTGGTTATTTGCTGCTCGTTCCTTGCACATTACTGACAATTAGATTCCCCCTTGCCTCCTTTTTTAATATGTACTGTTAGACCTTAAAAATATTGTGCCATCTATTCCCAGAGTCCTTTTTCCTATTCATTGTGATTTTGTATTTGAATATTTAACTCCATGTTCCCCTCCATTATTCCTTCCACTCAAACTTGTATCATTTCCTGGTGAATATAATGCACATTGTCTGAGTATGACTTATATACTGAATCTGGTAGTAGGTACTGTGCAGGAGGTGGGTTAAATAGTAAATAATGACTTTCATCATGGTCTTTTTGGAAAGCCTTCCAACATGAGTTACATTCTTCATAATATTAAGACTGTAAGGACCTATGCATGGAATCCTGGTTGATCCCTCGTCACAACTCCACTCAAGCTACAGTACTGCCTAGAAGAGAAATTTTATATTTGAGTTTCACCTTTGTTGCTGTCTTTGAAAGCAATGACTTTGAGGTGCATGTTTTGTATCATATAGAAAAATATGTTATATTTTCCTAAAAAAAAAAAACAAGAAGTTGTAATATTGTTTTTGAAATTGTACATATTTTAAAAGATGTCGTTTTGGCAGGTGGATTATGGTGGGAGGGTTTTTGTTGTTGGTATGATTTACATTAAAGAGATTGCTGCTTTGATACACTCCCTGAGCCACAGAGTCAAGCCAGCTACAGCTGGTGCTACCTCTGTGTTGTGTTTGAGATGTACTGAATGGCCTCTCCTGTCCCCAAACCATCTTCTTTATTGGTCTCCAATTGTTTCTTGGAATTCCCACCATTAGAATTACTTCTTTGGGTTAAAGCAGTCTCCATCCAGAAAGCCCGTGAAATAATAGAAATTTAACCCCTAAGCAAAGTCAACCTATTAGCTTAGTTAGTTTATCATAGCTGGTTGAAAAGCTGAGAGCAAGCTACAAGACAGTTAAGTGGGAAATGTCTTGAGCCAAATACCTGTGTGTCCAGGGGGGTTTATGAGAACAACATAGCCACTGTCTAAAGGAAGTGGTGATGATAGAGAGGTCTGAGTCATGTCAAATGCAAGTGTCACCTTTTCCATAATTTTTCCTGAGTCCAGCCTCTGTACAGACTCTTAAAAAACAAACCATTGTGGTAGAAAAGAAGGCCAAAAGGGTCACCTCTCTTAACCCAGAAAACACAGGATTTTGTTTGTTTGTTTTGGGGTGGGGGGAGGGTGTGTGTGGAGTACTTTCCACTACTAGATTTTTTTTCCCCAGTGTTTTGTGTTAACTTGTATAGTCAATCCTAGGATCACAGAATTGAGGCTGGAAGGAAATTTGGGGATCATTTAGTGCAGCCCTCTCATTTTAAAGATGAAGTAACAGGGTCACATTTTGCCCCCAAATCGAGTGGTAGAGTCAGGGTTTGAACTCAGTTCTTTCTACTACACCTTGCTGCCTCTTTGGCCCCCTGCCCCTCATTGTTGGTCGCAAAGCTGATAGCTTTAAGGGGTGGGAGTGGGGGAAGGGGAAGGAGTTGTGGGGGTTGGAAACATTTTCTCTAATATGGCCTAAATCTATCACAAGCCTTAACAACATCTCAAGTTTCCTGCCAGTTTTCCATGAACTGCCTTTCAATCTCTAGACACCTTGTTTTTGGCAAGATGTTCTGTTGGCTGTTCTGCTGTCTCTTCTCATCCAGGTCTCCTGCTGAGCTGTTCCAAGGCCTGTCTCCTCAGGCCAGTTAAACAAGCCTGTGTTTGTGTCTCACCCAGATTTCAGAGACGAGCTCTTGGAGCCACTTCGTCATGCTGGCAGAGGTGTAACTTTGGATCAGCCAGCATGCCTGTCAGCTGATTCCCCCCAGCCTGGTGGCCAGGGCTGTATCAGCAACGCCTCTATACCTGGCTTCTGGCACAGGATAGGGATGGAATACTGGTGTGCTTCCCAGCCCTTTTGACCAAAATGGACTGGGATGGCTCCTGAAGTAGGGGAAAAGGATGGCAATCTTGCATACTTGGTTGGAGATGACTCCCTGTACCCATTGCCATTTCAAACTTCAAATTCCCAGTAGGAGCCAAGGGCTTATAACAAGGACTTGAATTTCTTCAGAGTTAGGAGGGTTTTCCCCAGGCCTCTTCTAAAGTATAGCTTCTGTTGTAGCAGAATCAAGGGAGTAGAGGTTTAAGTCTTCCAACCAGAATAAGTGGACTGGACACTAAGTTTAGTTTCCTGGAGATCTTTGGTCATTCAGTCAGTCAGTGAACATTTATCAAGCACTTACTATGTGACAGGCACTGTGCTAAGTGCTGTGATTATTAAAAAAAAAAAAGACAGTGCTGGCTGTCTCTCAGGAGTTCTCAGTCTGATAGGGGAGAAGACGTGCAAACCACTATGTACACACAAGATACATACAAGAGAAATTGAAGTTAATTAACAGAGGCACTAGAATGATGGGGATCAAGAAAGTTTTCTTGTAGAAGGCAGGATTTTAACTGGGACTTAAAAGTAAATCTGAGAAGCCAGGAGGTAGATATGAGGGAGAGAATTCCAGTTAGGAGGACAGCCAGGGAAAATGCCCGGAATTAGGACATGGAGTGAATTCTTCGAGGAGCAGCAGAGATACCAGTGTCATTGGAGAGCTGTGGCAGGAGGGAGAAGCAGGATAAGGGAGAGAGGTGTGAGGAGACTGGAAAAGTAGGTCATGAGTGTCTTTGAACATGAGAGGATTTTTGTATTTGGTCCTAGAGGTGAAAGCAGTTGGAATTTGAGTAGGAGAGTGGCAGGGCATGTTAGGTACATCAGCTGAGTAGAGAATGAACTGGAGTGAGGAAAGACAGGACAGAGAGACTGTCAAAAGACAGAAGGGGGCATGTATGAGAGATGTTGTGAAGGCAAAATCGACAGGTCTTGCCAACAAATTGGGTATGAGGGCGAGAGTGAGGAGTCCAGGATGGGAAGATGGTAGTACTCTCAACACTAATAGAGAAGTTAAGAATAGAGAAGGGCTTAGGAACCTGGGGGGAAGATAATGAATTCAGTTTTGGATGGGCTGAGTTTTAGTAATCTGTATAGGACAATCAGTTCACAACATAGATAATTGGAGATGCAAGACTGGAGGTCAAAGAGATTGGTGCTGGTTAAATAGACTTGAGAATCACCAGCATAGAGATGATAATCGAATTCATGGGAGCTGATGAGATCAACAAATGCAATAATATTGTGGAAGAAGAGGAGAGAGCCCAGGATAAAGCCTTGGGGAATGCCCCGGCTAGTGAGAGTGACCTAGATGAAATTCCTTCAGCACTGACACTGAGAAGAAGCAGAAAAGTATAAGGAGAACCAGTAGTGTCATGAAAACAGAGAAAGAAGGAGAGTATTGAGAGTGTGATTGACAGTGTCAGAGAAGGATGAGGATCCAGAAGAGGCCATTTGATCTGCCAATTGGGTCATTAGTAACTTTGGAGAGAGCAGTTTCAGTTGATTGATGAGGTTGGAAGTCAGACTGTAGAGAGTTAAGAAAAGGGGGAGGGGAAAGGAAGTGGAGGCATCTATTGTAGGTGGCCTTCTCAAGGAATTTGACCAAAGAAGGGAGGAGAGATATTGGATAATAAACAGCAAGGATGGATGGATGAAGTGAGGGTTTTTTGAGGATGGAAGGGACACAGGGGTCCTGAGTTTGGGACCCCCGTGTCTCCCCCATCCTCAATTTTGTAAGTAGTAGTAAAGCAGCCAATAGACAAGGAGAGATAAGTGAGAGAATGGGGGTCATAGAAGGGGCAATTAGCTGGAAAAAAGTATGCAGTGAATATGCACTTTTCCTCAAAACAACCCTGTGAGATAGTGCAAGGATTATAATGAATAGCTTCCAATTAATGACAGCATTATGTGCAATTTATTAAAGAATTGTTAAATCCACGAAATTCTGGTTCCTTCTTGGTAAGTACTTTCTCCTCCTTAACTTGCATACAGATATAGGAAGACAATCTCTTCCTAGTTCCTGGGTATTTGCCTTCATCTGGTGAATATTTGTTAGCCTATGTCCCTTCCCATAGGGCTTTCCAACTCTGCTCTCCAAGCAGCTGCTTGGATGGGATGGCTCTTTTGGACTGGGGACAAAATTGAGCTTGTAGTTCAATTATAAAGATGGAAGGTGGTACATTTGAAGTTTGTCTTGCCAGTAAAAGTGGGGAAAACTTAGTCCGGTTTTTTTCCCCTGCTATTACTCCTTTGAATTTATGAGATCAACTGGAGTGAAAAATGGGGTCATTCATCCTTGATCCCCTGAATCTTCCTGCCTGCCCCATTCTCTAATTATATTTACACAGTCTTTCTTTCCCAGGACTTCATGGTGTTGCAGTCACAGTAATGGTCACATTCACAGGAGTATCATTAGGTTCCAGGGGTGAGCCTGGGGTTATGGTTGAGATTGGGGCTTCACCTATAGAAAGAATACATGAAGGACTTGAAAAAGCCAGAAACCTTAGAGGGCAAGCTGCTTCTCAGGTCCTCAGGAAAGACACATTGCTCATTATAGCCAAGATTAGAGTGTATGCAAAGGTATGAAGCTCATAGAGATGAGTTCTCACCAGCTTGCATCTCTGCATCCATCATGGCCCTGCTGTCTTGGTGATTCCCGCTGGCACTGG